ATTTGCTGCGATTGGAGAAGCTGCGTCAATCTGTTCTTCATCTAATAAATCACTTGCGCCTCAGAAACAATCCTGACATGCACTGAACGCGCAGTGGCATTTGAAGGTGTCAGATGCGAAGCACAGACGCTCTCGATTCTGGAGGTCAATAATAATATAACAACACTAATTCTGAAACGGTAAGGCGTTTTATAATGACCAAAACAACGTTTCTGATGTTTTACAGTGTGCTCAGCCTGATGGTTTCTTAAAAACATCTAATAAAAACATCTCTTTTAACAAAATCACATGAGCTTTTTTAATGCGCATGCTGGAGTTTGTGCGGTAAAAGTGTTTCCATTGTAGTTTATGCGCATCTTTTCCTTTTGAATAAAAAGTTTATCCTACTCAGTTATGTGCATAGGTTTTTTTTATGCGAATTTTCGAAATTTATGCCCATCATGTCGTTTCCATCAACCGTTTTTTTTTTATGCGCATATGCAAAATGCGCATAAAAATAGGTGGATGGAAACATAGCTAATGTTTGGGCTAGCTGTAGATGAGTTTGTAAAAAACTCATAACATTTTAATATTATTTTGGCAAATTGAATGAAATGACTCGAAAAAAGATTAGTTCATCTCAATGAATGAGACTCAAAGGTCTGAGCGAGTAAAATGATGCCAACTTCCCATCACTATTTTGAATTAGCCACTATGCTGACATCTCCGCCCTGTTTTGAAAAGAGCACAAATCTCATTTGAATTTAAAGTGACAGTCACCAAAACAGCACCACTTGTATTAAAGTTTCAGAGAGTTATAAAACATTTTTTGTCTGGTATTGAGCTGAAACTTCACAAACACACTTTTAGGACAACAGAGGCTTATTTTGCATCTTGTAAAAGGGGCAAAATATGCCTTCTTTAACTCTGTGGTGAGTTGTTTTGGAAAATATAAACAGATGTTATAGCATACTGTTACATAAGCATTCCCAATGAATTTATGCATCAAGTTTTACTACAATTGTTTTGTTTTTTTACTGTGTTTTTATTAAAGTTTTTAGAAACATAGTATACAAATAACATTCTTAGAATGTTTACAACCACAAAAAAAGGAAACAATTAGAAAGAAAAAAAAATAGTAGGTATAAATTATTATAATAGATAAATAATAGTGACAGCTTAAAGAAAAAATAAATAAATAAATATAAATAATAATAATAAATAAAAATAAAAAGAAGGAGGGAGGGGGGATAAACAAATAAATTATATAAATAAATAAATACACTCCAATATAAAGGCAATAAGTATGACAAAGACAAAGCCCCTGACAGCCTTTCAAAGATCATGCAAGTATGTTTCGATTAATGCCCTGGGCCCGGTTCTTCAAAGGGTTTAATCCGGATAAAATTGATCCGGATTTAGTAATCCTGTTTTTGCGATCCGTGATCACGTAATCCAGCTTACTTTTTGAGACAGTTTTTCAAAGCAACATCGGATTGGATCAAACTGATCCGCATAGGAACTTTTCAGGATTACTAAATGTGGATAACCAGTGCTCAAACAGCATACGACATCACAATATAGAACTATAGATATGTAAAGAGCGACAAGTAGAATAGCCAGCGTGGGGCCAATATAACTTTTTTTGTTTGAAATGAAAACTAAGAAAATTTTATAATTATTAAAATAATAATAATAAATAAGAAGAAAAATAAGAAAAACCCCACCCCATCCTCTTTCAACAGTCCGCTCATCTGAGACCTACAACACTGTACATTGACAATATTAATAATAAGTTTCAAATATAGATGTAAATAAAAAAAAGACTTAATGTCAAAAACTCCACAATCATTTCAGACTTCCTCATCTGATGTGGAGAAACCAGCTTGTCTGAGCGTATCCTTTAGGAGGCGGATCTCAAGTCATTGGCCTTGGTTTGCTGCAGTTTGGTCAGAGTCAGTTGTTCCTTCGCCAGACGAAGCTGCGCTTCTGCCATTTCAGTCTCTTTTTGCAATTGTTTAAGGTGATTTCAAAAATCAGTGATTGCCATTCTTTGCATTTTTTTTTGTTATTCTGTAATCATTGCATACATCATTAATAAATATTCTAAAATTCAATATATTCTATAATCACTATAGCCTGACGGATAAACAAATAAAATTAAAACCTTATGAATAAATAGTATATCTCGTAAGTAACTGATTGATTTTAAATGAGAGACCTCTGCAGCGCTGGTACGACCAGACACATTTTGACTCTTTATTTTCCTAATTAAAAGGGATAGTTCATTAATAAATTACAATTCTGTAATCATTAATGCAGTCTTCACTTGTTCCAGACATGGTTGGGTTTCTTTCTCAACGCAAGAGCAGATCTTTTTGGAAGAATGTTGAGAGCATACTAATACTAATACTATATATACTATGGATGTCAGTGGCATTTTTCTAAATATCTTCTTCAGTGTTGAATAGAAGAAACTCAAAAAGGCTGGAAAACAATTAAGGAAGTAGGACTGCACAATATATCGTTTTGACATCGATATCGCAATGTGTGTGTCCGCAATAGTCACATCGCAGGATATGCAATGTTAAGGGATTATAGTTGATCAGCACAACAATTGAGAATGCATGACATTTGTGGAGTCATTGCAAAGTAGAACCATGACAGATGGAAGTGTTATCATTTGCATGGGTTTTCAAAGAGATTCAAGAGAGTTTAAAGCAGTGGTTCTCAACTGGTTTGGCCATGGGACCCAAATTTTTAATAATCTTTAATAATTCCAAATAATTTCAGGAATTATAATTAATTTGTATTTATTTGTTAACACATATTTTAAGCACTATTTTTAGCTAAAATAGACTGTCGGATGGTCATCATAACCAAAAAAGTACATTTGAAAATTCATAGATAACAACAATAGCCAAAATAGTATTCAAACTCATTTTAACGTCAATCGCTTTTGGTGTTTCATGCCTTTTCATTAGTCCTTTTTTTGTTCCAAGATTTAGAATAAAAGTTACTTGTTTTATATTTTCTCTTTTTAAAAAACAACACAGTAGCAAAAGATGACTTCATTAGATTGTATGATTTCTTGCAAAGCTGGATGTGCAACTGGCCAAAACTGATTAGCTGAAGTCACACTAAAGCGACAGCCGACAGAGGATTCCGCCTGGCCTTTTTCAATAGGTTATTTTCACCATTTATGATGGCATATGAGTCAAAATTGGACAAATGAGCTCATGTATGGAACAAATTTTGTACCTTTTTTCGGTGAGGGGTGGGTCTTTTCGAACCCAAACACCCCCTGGCTATAGGCCTGAGGCTGGAAATGGCCAAGACCCCTCTAAAACCGGCCAATAAGCTTAGGCTGGTTTAAGCTGTTTTTTTGTTTTTGTTTGTTTTTTTAGCATGGAAGCGTTTTGTGCTCAAAAGAAGATATTTTAAGGGAAGTTAACTAGAAGCCACTAATTACCATAGTAGGAATAGAAAAAAAACAATGGAAGTCAATGGTTACCACTTCGAAGTCTTCAAAAATATCTTGTGTTCAACACTTATTCATTCATTTATTTTCTTTTAAGCTTAGCCCCTTTATTAATCAGGGGTAACCACAGCGGGATGAACCACCAACTTATCCAGCATATGTTTTTTACGCAGTGGATGCCCTCAAGCTGCAACCTACCACTGAAAAACACCCATTCACACACAACACTATGTAAAATTTAGCTTACTCAATTCACCTATAGAATGTGTTTGGACTCGTGGGGGAAACCGGAGCACTCGGAGGAAACCCATACCAACACAGGTTGTGTTAAACAGAAAAAAAGTAAATCAGATAGGATTGGAACAAGTGAAGGCTCAGGAAATTATGACAGGATTTTAATTATAATTTTGGGTGAACTTTAAGAATTGGCTATAATACACACACACACACACACACACACACACACACACACACACACACACACACACACACACACATACATAGATATACTCATACATACATATATATATATATATATATATATATATATATATATATATATATATATATACATATATATATATATATATATATATATATATATATATATATATATATA